AGGGAACAAGACAAGATGTCGTGATTTTGTTTTGTGTTGGTGTCAGGAGACGTAATCTGACGAATCCTGGTGGTGTATCGGAATCTTCCATCAGCAAAATAATATGTTTTGTTGGATCAAAAAGCCGAAACTGGCAGATATCAGTTATTAATTTAAAATTACAATTCCAGAACATTATGTCCCTGTCCGATGCTACCAACCGAACCCCCTCTCTATGACTCCCACTCCCCATCTTCATCATAACAAGTCCTGCTTGATTATGAACAGTTTTCACTATCATCTCCTCCATGTCCAACACGTCCCTTCTGATGGCCTCCTCTGTCGGTGTCCCAATCTTACGACACAGACCAACGTACAGGACCTCTGATAGACTGGAAACATGGTCCATTCTGTACGTTATGTTCATATTATAGAAAAAAAGTTATTATTTTATATCATTTGTGAAAAATGCAACACATCCGTTAGACTTTCAGATATACACAAAGATAAATACATGTAACATTATTGAGTTTCATTATAATCTCTCTACAAATGGTTGACTGTGCCTTTTGACATGTCAGTTAAAGGGAAATACCAGTCCCCAGAAAAACTTGTTTCGTTTTAGCATTATAACAGTTATTACACTCGTAAACTGAGAGATACAGGTGATTTTTGGTACATGTATATGCATTTATAATTGGGTCGAAGGAAAAGAGAATGGGGGTCCTCAGAGTCGCAGAAATAATTTAAATGTATAGAAATAATAATATTCTTTCATTTAAATATGTTAAATGTGATTCGTCGAGAATGATTTATTAAAAAGTTCTTTTACCCGCTTAATGATGATATGATAAATACATGTATTGCATGTGTTGAGTTACACTCAACAATACGCAGTATTTATATACATATTGTTGATCGGTAAACATGTATGATTTAAATATTTAAATAGATATATATTAAAGACCAGCTACAAGAGCTACATGTATTTATATTCAGCAGCAACCCCTTCAGTTCCCTTATCGTTCTCATCTTTTCACATCTATTGTGAAGTCCAGCTTTACAACTGTGAACGCATTTTTCCTTAAAATTTATGACAGAATATATTTGAATTTTTTTCTTCATTTGGACTTGTCAGGTGTTTATGTTATACTTTTTCTGATATTTTTATCGGGATGTTAGATATTTATATCGTATTTTTCCATTACAATAATTATGACCATAAATTATGTATCCGTAAGACCTATCAGATTGTACAAATGCCACCAAGAGGCACATGAATGGGGAAGAGGAGGTGGCAATGTCTCTCTTTTTAGCTTGATTATATTTATTGCATTATTGATTCTTTAACAGGTCCTGTTTAATGACAGTAAAACAGTTTATATGTGACCACTTTATATCAAATACCGTAGACTAAGTTTCATTGTGAGAAGCTGGAAAACAAGGGCAATTCAAGACAGTGCATGATAAATAAATGGAAAAGAATCAGCAAACGATAGTGAAAATGAAAGCTTCATTAAAGCGTCTGGAAAACTTGTTAAAATTCCCGACGAAATATTCACTGAAATAGGTGACATTTACTGCAACCAATGCTTGTTTAATAGAAAAATGAGAAAGTGAATTTCAATGATAAAAATTTATAATGGGCATCAAAAATGAATACCTTCCTTGCCAACAAAAAATTATACCAACTTATGTACTCATGACGAATTTCAACAAATACTATTTGATGTATGATTGACTTTAAGACGCATATTAAATTTGATAGATATAATTTGGGGCGTAGTTTACTCTGTTTTTAAGAAACATTTGACGGCGAAAAAGCTTATTACTCAAAGATCACCCTTTATTTTGAAAAATGAGTGAAAACGACAGCGTGTACGAATGTCTAAACAATCATTTTAAAATAACAGTAATTGTAGTTATCCACGTTTGTTTGATATTAAAACAGATAATGAAACTTGAATTTAGTGCTTAAAACCCTCAAAACAAAACTTACTATAAGATGTACTTGATAAAAAAAAGCCAAGGTCTGACAAGAGCAAAGGATTGCAAGAGCACAGAGACAGATTTATAAGCAATTTTCTTAAATATTAGTGGTATTGTTGTTTAAATTAGTATTCGGAGAGACAATTTAATTTCTGGAGGAGTCTAGAAATCAAATGTTTTGCAAAAACTCGAAAGGTTAATTAGAGGAAGGACCCATAATCAGGAATCCACTACATTAAATTTCTTCACGACAGCGTCCAAACCCGCACGCCCTTAAGACTAAAGGAGTTTTAGGGATAAACCTAGAGTTTATGTTTTTTCACATTAACAATATTCCCCTTTACAAAATTTAAAAAAAAATTTTTTTGTCCTTTTTTACTTGTTTCTATTTCCAGATGGAAGAAACAAGTCCAAGAATTCACTGGATCTGCCATTTATCGGTATACTAAGGATCATACCCAAAATTGAGTTCTAAAAACAATCAGAAATTGGCTAAAAATGTTACAGACAAGGTTTTAATTAAAAGAGATTAATAAGTTATATTAAATCATGAAGACTAATTCATTGAAAAGGGTCTTTTGCTTCTTTGCGAGCACCGAATACAATATTTATTGAACAGTCCTTGTAATCCACTTGCCCCGTGGGGATCCGGGTTAGAATAGGTCATCAGTACCCCCTTGCCTGTCGTAAAAGGCGACTAAATGGGACGGTCCTTCGGATGAGACCGTATAAACCGAGACCCCGTGTCACAGCAGGTGTGGCACGATAAAGATCCCTCCCTGCTCAAAGGCCGTAAGTGCCTAAATTTGCAGCCCATCACCGGCAATGGTGACGTCTCCATATCAGTGAAATATTCTGGAGAGGGATGTTAAACAGTATACAATCAATCAATCATTATCCACTTAATGTTTTTTGTAGTTTTACAGAATTTCACTTCACCAAAGAAAAATTTAGATGATTTATTATATATATATAAAAACACATCATCAATAAACAGAATATTGACTATTTTTATTCTAGAACTGTCATCCTTGTTTTAAGGTCTTGTGATGACTAACTCCAGATCATTTATATGTATTTAAATATATGTGCATGAAAGTGAAATCAATAGCTTGACGGCAAAAGCCAAATATTATATAATATCTTTTACAATTCATGGTAAGCAAATATGAAATGAATTCGCAGGGGGAATAAGGAAGCATACAAAATTTTCTACCATGGATAAATCAGTGCTGCATTATGACGTCATAGTAGGCAAGATGACGTCAATTTTAGAAATAAAGTTTTCGTAATATTGGTATTTAGCTATGTAATTTAACTCTAGAAAATGATTAGAAACGTGTAAACATTAACAAAAATAAAATGCGTTTATCTTGTTATGTTGTAGCAGTCATTAAGATTGAAATCTATTATCGATGACGTCATATGTGTACATCAAGTAACTCGGAAATTGATTATGTCGTGTAAAGAGAATTTGGCTAAGACGGCATGTTCAAAGATACGTAAAATGGAGTTTAAAAGGAATTATCGGAAATACTGTGTTAAATTCATATGGAGTTCAATTAATTTGACAGGTATGCTTATTTATTCTCATCGATTATATTCTCTTTCGAAGACAGTCAGCTATATTACGTATCCGGGTCGGCCTATCGTCTGTCATTCTTGACCAAAAATGCAACAGAACAACAATAAGCTGGATAATTCAAAACATACGATGAGTAAATATTCAAAGTTTGCGCTAAAACAAACTTGGAAAGTGCTGCTAGAATCCCGAGTTAAACATGGTTGTACGAAAAATCACGATTCATATGTATAAAATTCAAAACAAAGGGTAAGGTTTCGTGCGAATGTGTGGAATAAATATTTTACGGACAAGATAGTGGGATTCTAGCAGCACTTTTTAGATAAAATAGATGTTTTTCAGTTATATTACATACTCAAAGAAATTACCAAACTCCGGGGTATTGTTGTTCTGTAAGCCTTTTTATTAAGGAAAATTTTGCTATTAATAGAAGTCACGTGATACCATGGCGGTGATGCACGTCTTTGCCGTAGACAGGCTGTTATCTGTATGCAAAAGTAAAAAAAAGTTTACGTTTATCAGTGGTTTTGGTAATTTATTAAACTAAATTTTCTTCAAAAAGTCTAAATTTCCCGAGAAATTACTCATATGCTTTCTTAACATACCTGCGTTATCAAAATGTTTAAAGCGTTTCCATCATTACAGAATTAAGATTTAAGAAAGTGGTTACTGGTATTATACGAAATAATGTATAGAATATTCAATTGATGTGGATACTCAATTCCTTTGTAGTTTTCTAGCATTTATTTTGAAGATGCATTCTCAAAATAAATCATAGACAACTAATGGATATTTAAATTCAAGTCTACTTTTGAGGTATATTATCTTCATACAGTTTCGCTTCATCTGTGTCCTTAACAAGTGATGCTTCAATTCCTGATCTACAACTCTTTTAATTGCGATAGAAACCTTGCAAAACATATTTCACACGTGTACATATCTCTGCAATTGTTCTTTAAAACATTCTTTTCTTTTATTTTTATGGTTCTTGACTAAGCGACTCTTCATAAGCTGTAACGCCCCCGAGTAAATATACAACATATGGAAGATTTTAGAATGACGTTTACATATGTGTAACATATTTATGTTTTTGTCAGTAAAATCAACGAGACAGTGTAATATTTTAACAGATAATACTATACTACATAGTACATGTACAACTCAAGTAATAACAATATTACATGATTTGGATTACATTGACATCCAGAAAAAGTTAATTTTAAAACAATGGTCATTCCGAGTTCCTTTAACAGTTCTCAAGATAAAATACATTAATTTCATACTCCTTCAGAATGGTCAACTGTATATTTAAAGGTTTCAGGTACAGGTTTTATAGCAGAAATAAAGTATTTATAATTCTTAAAATTTCATCCGTTTTTTTTAAAAATATATTTTCCCTTACATTATGTTCATGTCTAGCTGCTGCGTCCTGATTCACAGTTCTACAATTACGATAGTAACATTTAGAAACCTATATTTACATGTGTCCATTTTTCTGTAATTGCTGTTTAACACATTTTATTCTAAAATCTGAAGCTTCTTTTATTCTTTGGAATGGGTCCTGTTTGAGCGACTCTTCAAAAGACCGTAAAGCCCCGTGTAAGTCTCCCACAACATGCTGACAGATTCCTAGTATCTGCCAGGATAGGTCTCTGATATGTAAAGGCACAAATGTCCCGTCATCGGAGAGCAGCAGTGTCTGTAGGTCTGTCAGTGACTGTAAACACTGAGATCTATTATCTAGTCTATACTGAGATAACACTGACAACATCTCTACTATAACAAACGGTGATACACTTAAGAATGACTGTCCATTATTCTGACTCACACATTGCTCTACATATAATTCTTCAATATAGGGGGTATTTTCAAATAAACGCACATCCTTAACCCCTGCTATCCTCATTCTTCTAGATAAAGGCAGATTACCTACAGCTTCATTGTATCTCTGCCTATCAACATTACGTTTATACATAATAAAGGATTGTGATAGTCTTTGTTTAGTGATATAAGTTATGTGTAGTGTTTTATCATACCTTCCTGTTCTATAGTAATACAATGCGAAATAAAGTACATCAGACATATATCCTATTCTTGCTGCCATTTTCAACATGCCACAAATTATTGAATCAAAGTTATAGATATTTTTATGTGTGTAACATTTCGCAATGTTTGTAATTATGAAGGCTAAATGAACAAGAGTCTGAGCAGTAAAGTACTGTAATGTTAACAACTTGTATGGTGAGATTGATAACTGAGAAAGTGTGTTAATTGTTTTTAAGTAAAGATAAAAGTCCAATATGTGTTGAATATAAAAACTTAATTTAGATACTTCATTTAAGACACACATATCTATTTCAACAATACTCATGAATTCTCCGTCAGCAGGAGATAAAACAAAGGACGGGCTACTGAGGGCGGGTTCTAGGATGGATCTGAGAGTCGGACTCAGCAGTAAACAGGACACACCCATTCTGTAATACTGAAAAAGTTGTTGTAAGAGAGATTCACGTGCATCACCAACGACTTTGTTTATGAACATGTTATTCCCTGGAATGAAAAAATTAGGAAAAACTCCAAGGTAAACACTTTTAAGAATATATTTTAAACACATCCAAAAACAATCTAATAAGTTGTTTGGGCACCATCTAACTTGTTCTAATTGCATCATCCAGAACATTGTGGTCTTCATAAAATATGAACACAGCAATGGTACCTTTCTATGGTTAATAACTTCCTTCAGATATATTTTCAGAAGTCCGTAACATAGAAATTGTGTATGATTCATGGTACACACTAGTTGTTGCTCGGCTTGTGAAAAAGATAACCTCCATTCCAATTCGTTAGAAGTTGTATCAACTTTACTACTAATAGGTACACAGTGACATTCATTTTTTAGGATTTTTTCTAACACAGATGACGGCGGCCAGGTGTGTCTCTGACATCTGTCAACCCAATTCCCTAATATTTTAGGCCAAGGAAAAGTGGCTAAACAATAAGCGACATCGATTTCAATAGATCCATAAAAACCACTGCTACAAGGACCATGGATTCTAAAATTTGCAATGTTGGAATCTTTATTAATACTGGCCTGAAAGTACCTTTCTCTCCACAGGCGACTAGATATATAAGCCCCGCCATTAAAGAGAACAAGGCATGTTATTGTGAATTTGTGTCGGGCTGGTGTCAGGAGGCGAAGTTTGACGAATCCTTGCGGTGTATCAGAATCTTCCATAATCACAATATCATGTCTTGTTGTATTATAAAACTGGAACTGGGACACGTCAGTTATTAGTTTATACTTACAATTCCAAAACATTTTATCTATATCAGATGATCTCAACCTAAACCCCTCTCTATAACTACCACTCTGCATTACAGCAATTCCTTTATGATTATAAACAGGTTTCATTGTCATCTCCTCTATGTCCATCACGTCCCTCCTGATGGCCACTTCTGTCGGTGTCCCTATCTTACCACACAGACCAACATACACGACCTCTGATAGACGGGGAATGTGCTCCATTCTGTCAATGTAAATAAGTGTTGTTTATATTATAGAACGTAAAGCGATAATTTTGTATCTTTTTTTTTAATTCAATATATCATCACTAATTGATACATACATGTAAAACTATTAGGATGTCTTATATTCTCTCTGCAAATGGCGGTCTGTACGTTATTTAAAGGGAAATACCCGTAAAACCTTGTTTCGTTTTCTTTTTAGCATTATAATAGTTGTTTCAGTCATATACTAAGAGAAATAGGTGACGTGTACGCATGTAGTTTGGTCGATGAAAGAGAGCATGGAAATTTTCAGAGTCGTAGAATTAAAATCAGACGTTGTCCCTGTGTCTTTAATGTATAATAATATAATTCTATGCACAGGTACTTGTGGACAGAGCCGCCCCAACTCCCCAAATATACAAAAATCCAGGTCAAAATATTTTTAAATGTTTTTTTTTTATGAATCATTCTTCTAGTTCACATTTCCAATGTATTCCGTGTGTATAGCAATAAATCACTTGAGTTTACCGAGGTGACCTAAAAAGCAAATAGAAAAGAGGATAACAATTAACAAGGACCTAATGCAGTTCTTTTTTTTAGGACAGAGGAATATTTAGTGATCACGTAAAATCTAGCTAAGTTGTGATACTGGTCCCTGTGATCCACAATAGTAAGACACTCTTTTAATGACCAAGTATATTTTATTTCTTTGACCATATTTTTTTTTTTACCATTATCGTTTTTGTAACAATCAACAATATTTCTAAATTCTTCAGTCAAAAGCTTTGTGTGTCCTTTACATAGTTGAACAACTCGTTTTGACATGTTCCTCTGCTTCCTCTAGCTTCTAAATTATTATATAATTTTTATATATTTTAAATTATACAAACAATAGTTACTTTTAGCATAGTAATTTTTTTTTTTTAAGAAACTTGAATACAAACAAAATATACATTAAAAATTTTAAGAGTTATCGCTCCTACCTTGCAGAGAACAACCTTATATTATGTCTGCATGAAATTCAGGCGCGGATCTAGAAATATTTCAATTGGAAGTTTAAAAGAGGGGGAGGGGGTTGAAGAGGGAAAGAATTGTTATAACGTATGTTTACATATACTAACTTAACTTAAGAGAACACATGAATGAAAGTATCGTTTTTAAATGAGGGAGAACAGTCAGCCTGGGTGAAAATTACTAAATTTGGATTTATACGTAAAATATTTTGACAAAGAAAATAAAATCTCCGAACTCTAAAATAATCCTATTTATTGAAGGGGAAGGAGACTTTGTTACCTTTATATATACCTACATTAGACGTTCAATGAACATTTTCTGTAGTTAAAACACAACAAAAAATTTGGACTTTATTCTTTGTCTAGCAGATCTAATGGAGAAGGGAGTGCAACCCCCCTTACCCCCCCCCCCCCCACCCCGTGGGTCCGCCTCTGAATTCCTAAATTCTTTGATTCCTACAGAGAATGCATATGACTCTTTAGTATGAAAACACGAAGTCAAATGCATAGAACAATAAGTTAAGTGCAATTAAATTTAGGATTAAAAATAATGTGCTTCTTCCCTTTCCAGAATAACATGAGTAAGCTTTAAGACAACTCAAATAAGAGACACGACAATCATGGACAAATAAGGACAAAAAGAGTGGTAAGGAACCAGTCATAATTAATAGGAAGTACGAGAGAAGAGTATCCTTATTTTGTTTTGACTGTTGTTTATACATATATGCAAATGAACCATCTTTTGGCACATATCTCTGAGGAATTAAGGGGGCAGCCCCCCTTTTTCAGACATACTTGAAGTTTTTACTATGAAAAATGTTTAATGAAAGTCCAGTCGATCCACAGGGGCTGGTAACATACTGTATTGGATTTTAAGGAATCTCTATATGTCTCTTATTGTATACATATAGTTATTACGTAAAATCCAATACAGTATGTTACCGGCCCCTGTGAGTCGATCACCCAACTTTTTGTCACAATATACAAAATAGGGCAATGTAGTATGAGTAAGTAAAAATTTGCTTATAAATGTTGGAACTTTGCTCCAACCCCAATGAAAAAAGATATTGCGATTTTGTAAAACTTTCCTTTTCCTTTATATTTCTTGTCAAGTTGTTTCAGATCAGTTACCCCCCCCCCCCCTTCTAATACGATGCTACGTCCCTGATCTTTATGAAGACTGCAAGTGATACATGTAATCATGCTCATGCAGCCATATGATTTTTTCAGGTTTCAAATATTCATGCTTCGTTTATATGTCTTCATTATAAGATAGATTTTTGACATGCTGGGTAGGACGTAAAATTGATGTTATCTTCCCATATTCTCATATCTGTATAATTTATTCATGATATCCGGATTGAACTGTACACTTAAATTGCCACACAAGAAGTGGTATATATGATCTCATGAAACTTTATTATAGTGCCGGTCTACACCATGAACTACTTTATCCTAGCTACAATGCAAACATGCATATTTATTTACGAGTATTTCAGCATGGCTTTTAGAAATATAAGAGGTATTCAAATTAATAGTTTGTCAACAAATAAATAATAGAAATTATTTTGCATCTGCCATCCATCAGCACATGCCTTTAACAAACTCAGGGATTTAATACTGGGTAGAATTGCAAAAAAACAATTGAATTCCTTGAAATTAAAAATTTATGCGTGACCAAATTTAAAGCCGCTTGGTCCGATTGTAATCGCTAAAAAATATATTCATTTTTCTTCTTGAAAAATAATTGTCCATAAATTATTTCAACTTTGGTCAAATTATATCCCCAAAGTCTTTTTCTTTTTAAAGATATCAAAATTCAAAAGTTAAAAAAATAATTTTTGTTAGGTCACACAATAAATAATCCTTTGTTGACATTTGTTGACATTGCGTGAAGTCATCTTCGAAAAAATAAATTTATCGCTTACATGTATAACTCGTGAAGAACAAACCCGAGCATTTTTTCCACAACAAAGTGTACACAGGCAATATTCTAGCCCTCGTTACTAAACCCCCTTTTTTCCTTTATTCTGTAAATATGCATATTAATATAAAAATTACTATGGATTATATTCAATTAATTCCTTAATTTTTAAAAGATAGTTCATGAGTTAGGATTCTACTAATTGAAAAAAATACTCGGGTTTGAAATCTCTTCATTATTAAATATATCCGATAAAGGTATTTTTTTCAAAGGTGACTTCAAAACAGATCTTAACTTCCCGTCAGGAACTGCTGTTTATCAACAAGGTTTTTGGTATATGTTTTCTAAGCAAGGATTGTTGTAATAAACTATTAAATCAATCTTATAATTAATTTTTATATATTATCTATGTAATGACATACTTTCATTGTTAAAGATAATATGTGCCTGTTTCGGATGAAGCGGCTTTAATAAAGTAAGCAAAAAACATAATGATGAAACATGTGGAGATTGAACTTTAAGATAGATTGAAAACTAAATATTCGTGTTTCTTGCTCAAGAACATCATAACTAATTTTATTTCAATCTAAAATCACAAGACTCGTGATCTTGATTGACTAAATCGAAGCATGTTGGGGAAATCTAGTTTCATAAAAAACAAAGTATTACAATGTGTTGTCGTTTTTCTTTAAAATACCATGGAAAAAATTTCTTCCGTTCTAAACTTTACTGTTTTCTATGCCTGCACGTGCTGATTAATTTCAAACCACACTTTTATGAATAATTTACCTGATCCACTATACGTCTCGTTGTAGTCTCATGCACTTAATCTCGTCAGAGCCTCAAGGCCTTCGAATACCTCGGGTATTATACATGTTATTGGTAAACATCGAAAAAAGATTAGAAGAAATGAAGACAACTATTATAACTCAACATTGAAACATGCGTTTTATTCGTGATATTAAACTCTATTTTTGCGCAATACGGCGTGACTGTGTGCTCGCATAAATATTATTCTTGTGTAAATTTGTATTATTTTACTTAGATTATATTGAGCAATGTTCAAAATTTGTAAAAGAAATTGTCTTGCTTATAAAAGATTTAGGTCTTTATCATAAAAATAAGGTGTCGCAAAAAAGTGATTTACAGTATATATGAGGGCTGTTCAATATATTTAAGGGTCAGCTTGGGTATATAACAATTATTGAAATATTCATGCTTGTCGATCCAGTCAATGTGCTTTTTCTTGTAAAAAACATCTAATAATTGACAGCTTAATCAAAAAGTTCATCACTCATCAGAATTTTGTTAAAATATATATATAGCAGATATTTAGGACACAGTGTGTAGATGTGCATATTACCAGGAAATTCAAATTCATTTATTTTTTCCTTGAATTTTTCGCACTTTTTAACTTAGATTTTTGTCTATACCTTTAATATAGAGAAGAACAGTTTGTCAGCGCAACTTCTATTAAACCGCTGCACAGAATTTCGTCAAACTTTGCAGATATTTAGTACACAGTGTACAGATGTGCATATTACCAGGATACCAGGTATTCTGATTCCGTAATTTTCCTGGGGAATTTCAGCACTTTTCAACTTAGATTTTTGGCCATATCTTGAACATGAAATGAACAGGTTTACAACGCAACTCCTCTTAAATTGCTGCACAGAATTTTGTCAAACTTTGCAGATACACTGTACAAGTATTTAGGACACAATGTGTATATGTGCATATAACCTGTAAATTCCAATTCATTTAATTTTTTATGGGACTTTCAGCACTTTGCGTTTAGGGGGAGCTTGAGGTCTGCGAGCTTGTTCACTTTTTCTTTCATCATAGATGTTTTGTTGCAGGTCCCTCTTGGTGATAAAACAAGGCTAGCAAATCTTCCACCACTGAAGAGTGGGGATATTAGGACCCACCTCCAGGAACAGCCTCAGAAATTGACTGCCCTTGACCTACAGCTATCCTCCTTAGGTTTGTTGTGTCATTCATAACTTCATTTTGCAAGATTTATGACTGGTATTGCTTGCAGACATTACAGTAAACCTATATAAACAGTAAAAAGTCTTTAAGGAAGACAGAGTTAACTAAATGTTCTTTTGTTAAATAGTGATGAAATTAAAGTGTTAGATAATATGGACAGAAAGAGATTTTAAAATTCACAAATTATTTATGCCATCAAAAACATTTACAGGTTAGGTGTCAGTGATTGGAATAGCGCGGGGATTTGAGATAGACATAGACGTGACACAGAGAGTTTACACCCCAGGGGCTCTTGGGATTTATCAGAGACCCCTGATGTTGAGGGAGGCCGATGCTTTCCATAGAAAAAGGATATAGAATACATTTAAATACTTTGGAACAAATCTAAACTGCTGCTATCAAAGGGAGAGCGTTTATAATCTGATGTGTGTTACTTAAAATTAAAATGAAAAATTAAACTTATTTCATATACATATACTTTGTATTTGTTTTTACCTCTACAGGTCAGAACCAAAAGAAATTATGGGATGGTAAGGTATCCTTTGTCCGTTCATCTGTCTAGCTATCTGTCTGTCTTTAAAGGGGCTGTTCAAATTTTAAAACTAAAATGTATGAAATTTTTCTTTGCCAAATGGTAGTTAACAGCTTAAGATATAATTTCTGATAATTTAAGTTTTATCTGATGGCTAATTGTTGTTATTTATTAATTGTTTAATTTATTAATTGTTTGTTATTCCAGGCTCCTTAAGTCTGCAAACAATATTTGAAAATGCTGCTCCTGCTACAGTTTTTGTCTGATTTGAATATAACATGACACACAAATAGATACACTATTAAAGATACATGCATGTAATTCTGTGTATCGATTTTTGATTGCAATGAATTGGGTTGCCATAGTTACTATAAGTAGCAATTTTTGTGAAATAATTTAAAATGCTACTTTTCCTACAGTTTTGGTCTGATTTTAATATAATGCAGCATGCATGTAGAGAGCATGCACAGGAAAGCTAAAACTTAGAAGGAAGAATCGGCGTGTTGAGTAGCATCTAATTCGTTAGAATCATGACCCACTGGGGTAAGGACAGGGCCACAATAAGGAATCCCATTTTACATTGTTTTACACTGAATTACATATGAACAATAAAAAAATTTAATCTTTTCAAGAACCACTGGACAAAAAAAGCTGAATCTTATGTGGAAGCATCCTGAAGTAGTGTATATTCTACATTTTCCACATTATGACATCAGCGGAGGGTGGGGTCACAATAGGTATTACAAGGCAGAAATTTGGTAAATAACAGCATGGCCAGTTTTACGGTACTCAGGTGAGAGATGTGGCCCATGTTTCTATTGATTCTTCCTTTGTTATAAGTACAAACCAGTAGAGCTACAGCGTCGACAAAGACGTCTATTCTTAATAATCTAAATGTAAAACACTTAAAAATTTCTTTGTGTTTTTACAGAATTTTACTTCACAATAGTAAAATGTTAGGTGAAACATCATCAGTGAACAGTATAATGCCTTTTTTTACAGAACTGTAAATCTTAATTGTTTTAAGTCCTGCATTGATAACCTCTAGATTATTTAGACGTATTAAAATATGTACATGAAATAAACACTATAGATCTGCAAGATAGAGTAAGATCAATATATCTCGACGACAAAAGCCGAAAATTATGGAGTATTTTTTACAATTTTTGGTTTGCAAATATGAAATGAATTGTCAGAATTTTTGAAGAGTTTTTATCATTACAAAGTTAATATTAAAGAAAGTGGTTATTATAAGAAATATTGGAGGAAATATTCAGTTAATGTGATGCATAATTCCTTTGTAGTTTTACAGCATTTAATTTTTAAGATGCATTCTCAAAATATACATTAAAATCATATTATAGAAATTTAAGTTGAAGGTGTTTTTATTACCATCATACAGTTACGTTTTGTCTGTGTCCTTTACATTTATATAAAACAAGTGACTTTTCAATTCCTGATCTACAACACTATAAATAACGATAGAAACATTGTAAAACATATTTCACATGTTTATAGTTCTTTGTAATTGTTGTTTAATACATTCTATTCTAAAATCTGCAGCTTCTTTTATTTTGCTATATGGTTCCTGTCTAAGCGATTCTTCATAAGACTCTAAAGCCCCGTTTATGTCTCCTACAACTTGCTGACAGATTCCTAGTATCTGCCAGGATATGTCTCTTAAATATAGAGGAACGTATCTCCCATCATCATACAGCAGCAGTGTCTGTAGGTCTGTCAGTGACTGTAAAGACTGGGATATATTACCCAGTCTATAGTGAGATAACACAGACAACATCTCTACCATAACAAACGGTGATACAATTAAGAATGTCTCTCCATTTTGTTGACTCACAAACTGCTCTAAACATAATTCTTCAATACAGGGGATATTTACAGATAACTCCACATCATTCACCCAGGTTTTCTTCATTCTTCTGGACAAAGACATATTACCTACAGCTTCATTATACCTCTGCCTATCAAAAGTACCATAAATAATAAAGGATTGTGATAGTCCTTGTCTAGCGAGATACATGATGCGTACTGTCTTATCATACCTCCCTGTTCTATAGTAATACATTGCTAGATAAAGTAAATGAGACACGTACCCTAATCTTGCTGCCATTTTTAACATGCCGCAAATAATTGTATCTGAGTTATAGATAGTTTTTTGTGTACAACATGAAGTACTGTTTGCCATTAGGAAGGCTAAACGAACAAGAGTCTGAGCAGTACAGTACTGTAATGTTAATAACTGGTATGATGAGATTGATAACTGAGATAGTGTGTTCATTGATTTTAAATAAATATAGGATTCCCAAATGTGTTGAGCAGAAAAATCTTTGCTCAATATTTCTAACATGCCACACATAACTAAATCTGCAACACTTATAAATTCCCCCTCAGCAGGAGATAACATAAAGGAGGGTCTACAGAGGGCTGGTTCTAGGATTGATCTGAGAGTCGGACTCAGCAGTAAACAGGACACGCCCATTCTGTAATACTGGTAAAGCTGTTGTAAGAGAGATTCACGTGCATCATCTTCAACTTTGTTTATGAACATGTTATTCTGTGGAATGAAAAAATTAGGAAACGCTCCTTGATAAACACAATGAAGAAGATATTTTAAACAAATCGAAAAACAATCCAACAAGTTGTTTGGACACCATTTAGCTTGTCCTGATTGCATCATCCAGAACATTGCGGTCTTAAGGAAATATGAACACAGTAATGGTTCCTTTCTATTGTTAACAACTTCCTTCAGGAATATTTTCAGAAGTCCGTAACATGAAAATTGTGTATGATTTATAGTACACACCAGTTGTTGTTCGGCTTGAGAAAATGATAATCTCCATTCCAATTCGTCAGAAGCCATATTTACTTTACTACCAATAGGCATACAGTGACATTCAGTTTTTAGGATTTTTTCTAACACAGGTACCGGCGGCCAGGTGTGTCTCTGACATCTGTCAACCCAACTTCCTAACAGTTTAGGCCAAGGAAAATTGGCTAAACAGTGAGCTTCATCGAATTCAACAGATCCTACACAACCACTACTACAAGGACCATGAATTATGATATTTTCAGAGTGGAAACGTTCATTAATCCTGTTCTGAAAATAGTGTTCTCTCCAGAGAAGACTAGATAGATGAGGTCCACCATTTAAGAGAACAAGGCATTTTATCGACACTGGTGTCAGGAGGCGCAGTTTGACAAATCCTGGCGGTGTATCAAAATCTTCCATGAGCACAATAATGTGTTTTGTTGTATTATAAAACCGAGACTGCGAGATGTCAGTAATTAGTTTATAATTGCAATCTTAGAACATTGCATCCCTGTCAGATGATTTCAACCTAAATCCCTCTCTATGACTCCCACTGTACATTATAGCACAGCCTCTGTGATTATGAAAAGGTTTCTATATCATCTCTCTCTCTTATGTCCATCACATACCTTCTGATGGCCACTTCTGTCGGTGTCCCTATCTTACGACACATACCAACATACAGGACCTCTGATAGACGAGGAATGTGTTCCATTCTGTAAGTGTAAATAAGTATTGTTAATATCATAGAAAGTAAAGTAATAATTTTGTATCATTTTCTTTTAGAAATTTAATATATTATGACTGATAGATACATACATGTAACACTATTTAGGTTTCTTATATTCTCTCTGCAAATGACGGTCTGTACGTTATTTAAAGGAAAATACCCGTAAAACCTTGTTTCGTTTTCTTTTTAGCATTTATAATAGTTATTACAGTCATAAACTAAGAGAAATAGGTGATTTTTTGTACACGTATACGCATGTAGTTGGGTCGATGAAAGAGAGAATCGAAATTTTCAGAGTCGCAGAAATAAAATCAGACGTTGTCCCTGTGGCTTTAATGTGTCTTTTATAATATACTTTTATGTACATGTACTTGTGGACAGGACCCCAACTCCCCGAATAAACAAACCCAGGTCAAAATATTTTTTTAATGTTTTTCATAAATCATTCTTTTAGTTCACACTTCCAATGTATCCCATATGAAGAACAATAGATCACTTGAGTTTTCCCAGGTGACCTACATGTAAAAAAGCGATAGAAGTGATCACGTTAAATCAAATCGGGGTCTCCCCACTGGTGCGAAGGTTCACTATACAAGGGCCCACTAGTCCGACTCAGAAAAAAATAGAAATTTAATATTTACATATTTTCTATATTTTCAGTCTTTGTCCGAGATAAAGTTACAAATAGTAAATGTACTTTATCTCTACATAAATCTACTGGTTCATCGATAAGCGCGGTTAAAAAGAAAATCACGTGCGGGGCGGGACAAATAAACAAATAAACGGGCTTACGTAGATTTGCGAAAAAAGAAGATCATTCTGACTTAGATAATATGTTCCTGATTATTGTAGATCCACACAGAACTGACACCCGAGGAACTGAAGCTCATCCTCCCTACTCGTAAGATTGTCCCCCATTGTTATTTACTGAAACCTGACCATACAGTGTTTATCACTGGACTAGGATGATTGACTATGTAGTGGTACTAATTAGAAAATTAATGTGATGATCATAAAACTGCCATTTCTCTTCTTTGATTTCCTAATCTTGCTACAGTTTTTTCAAAATGTAATTTTTAAGTATCTAATATATTGTTGTTATACCCCCATGCAACAAGCTGCGTGAGGTATAATGTTTTTGACCTGTCCGTCAGTCAGTCCTGTTTTTCTTTGTCAGCTCAACTCCTCATAAACCGCTGCACAGAATTTGGTCAAACTTGGCAGATATTTAGGACACACTGTGTGCATATTACCAGGAAATTCCTATTCCTTTGTTTTTCCCGGGAATTTCCGTACTTTCACACTTAGACTTTTGGCCATATCTAATATACAGATGTACAGTTTGTCAGCGCAACTCCTCATAAACCGCTCCACACGGAGTTTCTTCAAACTTGGCAGATATTTAGAACACATTGTGTAGAAGTACATACTACCAGGGACTACCGATTCCTTTATTTTTCCATGGAATTTCAGCTCTTTATCTTTTGGGGGAGCGTGGGGTATGTGCGCTTGCTCATTTTTTCTTTCATTTTATGTAACAACCCCCCCCCCCCCCACACACACACACACAAAAGGGTTGTTGATTTTGTAAATCTGAGGAAACATTTTACTTTTGCAAAGTTTTTTGAAATACAATTTATTTTTTACTTTCAACAACATTTTTCTGAATAATTATAACATAAACATTTAGTTTGATGACAGGGAAACCAAGATGTAATGTTGGCGATTTTCATCAGTTCTAAACTTCCTGTGTATGTGATGCCTATTAATGAAGCAGAAGAGTTCTATCACAACAACATTGGGACATACTGTAAACCAACTTTTATTCGCGACGGCTTTATTTTGCGATTAACTAGAGATAAACTAGTTCGCGACGATTAATTTTCGCGATGAAGACTTTTTGGATCTGTAGTTAATAGACAAATACTCTTAAAGAACCGGTTCGCGGCGAGAAATATTCGCGAAAATTTCTCGCACGCGAATAAAAGTTGGTTTACAGTATGTACTGGGGGTAGGTATCTCAGATTCAAAATTAAACTGTCAGGAGAATCAGGAATTTATGAATGATATTTTAAAACTGGGTAAATCAGGTACCTATCCCTTTCTGTAAAAATGTCAAAATTTCCGATATATGCATGACATGCCAACATACACTCATTTTCATAGATGTTCTGTTGCAGGTTCCTCTTGGTGAAGAATCAAAGCAAGCAAAGCTTCCACCACTGAAGTGTGAAGATATTCAGATCAACGTCCAGGACCACCTTCAGAAATCAGCTGTCCTTGACCTACAGCTCTCCTCCTTAGGTTTATTATGTAATACATAACGACAGTATGCAAGATTTATGAATGGTATTGGTTGTTGACATTACAGTAAACCTATTTAACTAGTAAAAAGTCTGTATTAAATTTTCATTTGATAATTAATTATAACATTTTTAGAATGTATTCAGGGAATCACTGTCTAATTAGTTGAGTATACTAGGGCATCAACGATAGTTGGAAACATGGGGTATTGCATAATGGGCGAAGCATTTCCAACTATCGTTGATGACCCTGGCATACTCTACTTACTAGACAGTGATTCTTTATATTTCCATTTCATTGTGAAATAAAATTGAAGATTTTGATTTTAAAAATGTGTTTTAATTAATTTAAATTTGCACAAGGTCTCTTATGTCATGAAGACAAACACACAAGATTTACATGCACATTTGGGCCTCCTAAGCTCCTGATGTATCGCTTGTGGAAATTTACATGCTGGAAAAATGATCAAGAAATCAAATTCATTAACTTTCAAAGAGTTATCACAGAGAAAACAAATAGAAATGGAAATATTAGATGATATAGAAACAAAGAGATTTTAAAATTCACGAATTAATTATGCCATCAAAAACATTTACAGGTTGGGTGTCAGTGATTGAAATGGCTCCGGGATTTGAGATAGACATAGAGTGACACTGAGAGTTTACATCCCAGGGGCTCTTGGGATTTATCAGAGACCCCTGATGTTGAGGGAGGCCCATGCTTTCAATCTAAACTGCTGCTTTCAAAGGGAGAACGATTATGATGTAATGTGTGTTACTTAAAATAAATAGGAAAAGCTTATATATATCTCTGGTATTTTTTTTCGAATGATGAATATGTAAATCACTTTAAAATCTCTTTTCGATGAACAGAATAATGATCCTTTGTTAAGTTTCTTTGTGTGACTAGTTTTACAGTAAAACTCGGTTATAGCGAAGTCCTCGGGACCTGTGAATTTAATTCGCTATATCCGTAATTCGTTGTATCCGTATAACGAATTGGCAATATGCACGTTTTCCTACAAGTAATGCAACCGAATAAGGTAGGGAAACAATTACTACAAAACATACGGTGACTTTATAAGGTTTTCATTACAAATTTCATTTGCAAATACTTAAAAAAATAAAATCAGTTCAATATATAAACACCTCTGAGATTTTTTAAAATTCGTTATAAAGGTGCAAATTTTTATCGTTTTTACCCATTACGGGACTCAAAATCGGTTCTCTATATCCGTAAATTCGCTATATCCGAGTTCGTTATAACCGTAAAATTTTACAAAGAATTGTTAAGAATTTTGTCGGGGACCCCGAGACACTTCGCTATATTCGTGAATTTGCTATATCCGTGCTAAACGAGTTTTACTTTATAGCAATCCGTCTAAAATTAAAGAGGAGTATCTCATTGAAAGAATCTCTCAGAACATATCTATTCATAGTACCCATGGAAAAACTATTCATCAAAGCCATATTTGGCCTGTTGACCTTGACCTTGGAGTTTGACCCACTTTAACACAAAAATTTCAACTTTTACTTTGGCCATATCTTTTGTATCAGTTGTAACCAGGACATTCATACTTCACATATATATTTTTGTGGCAAGACCTTTCATTGGATACCAGCAACTTTGACCTTTTAACCTTGATCTTAGAGATATTCATACTTGTAAACAAAACTTTACTCTTGGCCATAACTTTTGAACGGTAAGGGATAGGGCTTGCATACTTCACATATGCAATCCTTGTGAAAAGACCCTTCATTGGATACCAAGAACTTGACCGTATGACCTTGACTTGAAGTGTGACCTACTTTAAAAAAGCAAACCTTGATCATAACTTTTAAAGGGTTAGGGCTAATGCTTTTATATTTTAAATATTTAATTCTTGTGACAAAGACTTTTATTTGATAGCAAGACTTTTGACCCTTTGACTTTGACCTTGAAGTTTGACCTACTTTAAAAAAGATTAACCTTGGTCATAACTACTTAGCGGCTAGGGCTAGGGCTTCAATACTTTACATATGTATTGTATGTGGTAAGACCTTTCATTGAATACCAATTCCCTTGACTTTTAAACTTAAAGATTTTGTACTTTTAACCTTGGCAATAACTTTTGAACACAAAGGGCTATTGATCTCATACTTCACCTATATAATCCTTCTAAGAAGACCCTTCATCGGCTACCAAGAACCTTGACCTTGACCTTGGAATTTGACCTACTTTTAAAAAAGAAAACTTTGACCATTCTTTTTAAAGGGTTAGGGTCAGTGCTTTCATACTTTTCATTTTTAATCTTTGTGACAAGACCTTTCGTTTGATAGCAAGACCTTTGATCTTGACCTTGAAGTTTGACCTACTTTTGAAAAATTTCTAACCTTGGCCTACTTTCATATTTCACAATTGTATTTCCAGTAAGAATACCCTACTTTTGGTACCAATATCTTAAATTTGCATTGAAGAAAATTTTAATCACTGCTATTTTGCCATACTGGGGCGTCAGTGTTTCACAAACACATCTTGATTTATTTTTAAAGTTTTGTGAAGATGTTTTCTCATTATATAAACATGTCATAAAGATTTCCAGTCTACTTTGAGTTGAGGGCATATTATCTTTATACAGTTATGTTTTATCTGTGTCCTTAACAATTTTTCCAAACAACTGTTGATTCCAGTTCTACAACTCTTTAAATAACGAAAGAAATACATGTATAGATAAATATTATTTTCACATGTACACATATCTCTGTAATTGTTGTTTAACACATTCTATTCTATAAGCTGTAGCTTCTTGTATTCTGTTGAATTGTACATGTTTGGGCGACTCTTCAAAAGACTCTAAAGCCCCGTGTAAGTCTCCCACAACATGTTGACAGATTCCTAGTATCTGCCAGGATATGTCTCTTAGATATAAAGTCACATGTGTCCCATCATCATAGAGCAGCAGTGTCTGTAGGTCTGTCAGTGACTGTAAACACTGAGATCTATTACCTAGTCTATAGTGAGATAACACGGACAACATCTCAACCATTACAAACGGTGGTACAATTAAAAATGGCTCTCCGTTTTGTTGACTCACAAACTGTTCTAAACATAATTCTTCAATAAAGGGGATATTTTTAAATAAATACACATGGTCTACCCAGGCTATCTTCATTCCTCGAGACAAAGGTAGATTACCTACAGCTTTATTGTATCTTTGCCTGTCAAGAGTTTCACCATACATTATAAAGGTCTGCAATAATCTCTGTTTAGTGATAAATGTGATATGTAGCGTTTTATCAAATCTCCCAGTTCTATAATAATATAATGCTAGATAAAGTAAATAGGACAGAGGACCTAATTTTGCCGCCATTTTCAACATGCCATAAATAATTATATCTAAGTTATAGATATTTCTATGCATGCAACAAGAAGTATCATTTGCCATTATGAAGGATAAATGAACAAGAGTCTGAGCAGTACAGTACTGTAATGTTAATAACTGGTATGGTGAGATTGATAACCGAGAGAGCGTGTTAATTGATTTTAAATAAAGATAAGATGCCCATTTTTGTTGAGGAGTAAAAGTTAAATTACGCAATTCATTTATGCCACATTTATATAATTCTGCAACACTCATAAATTCTCCCTCAACAGGGGATAACACATAGGACGGGCTACTGAGGGCTGGTTCTAGGATTGATCTAAGAGTCGGACTAAGCAGTAGACAGGACACGCCCTTTCTGTAATACTGATAAAGCTGCTGTAGAAGAGATTCATGTGCATCCTCAACAACTTTGTTTATGAACATGTTGTTCTTTGGAATAAAAAAGTTAGGAAAGTCTCCACGATAAACACAATGGAGAAGATATTTAAAACACATCCAAAAGCAATCTAGTAAGTTGTTCGGGCACCATCTAACTTGTCCTGATTGTATCATCCAGAACAATGTGGTCTTCATGTGATATGAACACAGTAATTTATCTTCCCAGCAGTTGATAACTTCCTTCAGAAATATTTTCAGTAGTCCGTAACATAGAAATTGTGTATGATTCATGCTACACACTAGTTGTTGCTCGGCTTGAGAAAATGATAATCTCCATTCCAATTCGTTAGAAGTCGCATCAACTTTACTACCAATAGGCACACAGTGACATTCAATTTTTAGGATTTTTTCTAACACAGGTATTGGCGGCCAGGTATGCCTCTGACATCTTTCAACCCAATTTCCTAATAGTTTAGGCCAAGAAAAAGTAGCTAAACAATGAGCTTCATCAAATTCAAGAAGTCCAAAGAAACCACTGCTACATGGACCATGGATTCTGATATTTTTACTGTAGGAACCTTTCGTAATCTTGTCCTGAAAATATTTTTCTCTCCACAGACGACTAGATAAATAAGTCCCACCATTAAAGAGAACAAGGCATGATATCAGAACTGGTGTCAGGAGGCGCAGTTTGACAAATCCTGGTGGTGTATCAGAATCTTCCATAAGTAAAATGATATGTTTTGTGTTATAATAAAACTGAGACTGGGAAATGTCAGTTATTAGTTTATAATTGCAATGCCAGAACATTGAATCCCTGTCAGATGATGTTAACCTAAATCCTTCTCTATAACTCCCACTTTCCATTATAGCACAGCCTCTATGATTATGAACAGGTTTCCTAATCATCTCATCCATGTCCAACACGTCCCTTCTGATGGCCACTTCTGTCGGTGTCCCTATCTTACGACACAGTCCAACATACAGGACCTCTGATAGACGAGGGATGTGATCCATTCTGTCAGTGTGAATAAGTATTCTTAATATCATAGAAAGTAAAGTAATAATTTTGTAAGTTTTTTTTTTAGAAATTCAATATATCTGTGAGATTCTAAAATAAAACATGACTTATAGATACATACATTTAAACACTATAAGGGTTTCTGATATTCTCTCTGCAAAATGGCGGTCTGTACGTTATTTAAAGGGAAATACCCGTAAAACCTTGTTTCGTTTTCTTTTTAGCATTTATAATAGTTATTACAGTCATAAACTAAGAGAAACGGGTGATTTTTTGTACACGTATACGCATGTAGTTGGGTCGATGAAAGAGAGAATCGAAATTTTCAGAGTCATAGAAATAAAATCAGACGTTGTCCAAGTGTCTTTTATAATATACTTTTATGCACAGGTATACGTACTTGTGGACAGGACCCCAACTCCCCAAATATACAACCCCAGGTCAAAATATTTTTTAATGTTCTTTTTTCATTTTAGTTCACAGTTCCATTGTATTACATATGGATAACAATAGGTCACTTGGGGTTTACCAAGGTGACCTACCTGTAAAAAGGCAAAGGAAGTGATCCCGTAAAATCGGTGTCTGCGAAGGTTCACTAATCCGAGGATCCACTAGTCTGATTGAAAAAAAATACGGATTTTATATTTACATATTTTTTACATTCCCAGTCTTGTCCGAGATATAATTACAAATAGTAAATGTACTTTATATTTACATAATTCTAATGGTATTTCGCGATAGGCGCGAAATCACGTGCGGGGCGGGACAAATTGAGACGGAAGCGGGGCCTACAGCACGTGGATTTGCGGAATCAAGAGCATGTAAATAAAAGGAAAAACTGCAGGGTTCTCCATGACCTGTTTTACTGTGTTGCTCCCGACACAGTAAAATTTTCTCCGACACAGTAACGATTCAAATTTTATGCATGCATTGGTTTTCACACTTCCATGTAAGGGTTAATTGGTAGTTTCAATAAAATACATTGTATTGTTTTTAAAAAAAAATATTAAAATAATTGTCTTTTCTATAGAGCCACGCGGCTTTAGAATTATTTTAGCACTGTAAGTTAGACATAACATCATATCGAAGTCACTTAAATGATGTAAAAAAATTGCTTAATATTTTGAACATGTTCAAGGAACTCCTAAAATATTTTACTGTTCTGACGTTTCTTTTTTTTTATATATATAATGTGATAACTCGATTAAGAAAACTGATAAATAATCTCGGCAAATTTAATTTAAAAAATGTTAAGTAATATGAGTAAGTTAGTAAGTAGTAAGTTAAGTGTATGACCATACCATTTGTGTAACTAATTAGCGATTTTTAAATAAGTGTGTGCATGTATTCTTTTGTAATTTTCATAAATAGTGATTTAGTTGTGAATTTGATCGCGAAAATATCGCGAAATTTTAGTTCTTCGTGTTAACTCTGCAACACAGTAACATTTCAAATGATGGAGAACCCTGAACTGTCAGGTTTTCGGTTTCATGACGATTATCAATCGACTGGCTTGCGTGATAATTTTATGCATAAACACGCTGGCCTAATATCTGTTGAGGCATGCAAAGAAATCCAGCAATAGAGTCAATAAAAGTGTGATGGTGTCAATCACTCATATTTCTTTAATGCTACATGTAGCAAAACAATTAACGGCAGCAGATCCATTTATTCTGGCAGTGCTCAAGTTAGAGATTACTAAACTTTTACCCCCAGGAAGTAGCTTTCTATGCCCTAAGGAATGGTTCGTGTCAAAAACATTTACATAATGTATTTATTTTTAAAGCACTGTATGCAAATTTCAACTGCCACAGTTTCCAAAATTGTAAAAATAGAATGGAAGGATTTTTTTAATCAAAAGAAAAAAAAAGAATAATTATATACATAAGAACTATTGTTGACAAAGTTAATATTCTATAAATTTACTTTTTGATCCTACATATCTTTTGAGTTTCCCTTAGCAAAACTTGGACAGTTCCATTATATTCATACGGGAGGCGAGGGTATCATTAAGTGAGCTCATTGCTAACAGTACTCTAGTTTTCATTAGTTTCACTAACACAACAACTAATTCTTCGTGCTTGATGGTAATTGAAAAAGGAAGATTTTTTTTTAGATTTACCTGTTTTAGTGTCAACTGCACTCTTATGAGCATCCAACCCACAATTTATCTATATTGTTCATATTGCATTTTTAGAATAAATCGAAAAATCGACTTTACAATTATAGAGGCATATACAGATAAAAAATAAACAATCATTTTAGGTACTTCCTTCTTCTTTTTTTTTTTGTTTATGTAAAAAGGGACCTCGGTTTTTAAGGTCTAATTCGAAAGAACCATTGTAAACGGTAACTACCGGTATATAGGTTATGGACTTCCTCTACGTTAACACCTTAAAAATGACACATCTCAAGAGTCGAACCCAGGCCCAATCACATCTAGCAAGCACTAGATACCACAAGGCCACCTTGACCGCTCACCCGTGGAGAAAGAACTATTTGAGATGCAGGAATATGCAGAGTATAGGAAGGACGTTTCAAATCTTATCAATAATTTTTATTCGCCGTATTTTGTGGTCCGAAATTCAACCCAAAAATTCAGGAACCTGTTAAAAATTTACGGTCTTATTTAGGTTTTTGGACTAATGAGCCTTCGGACTAGTGGACCTTTGGATTAGGGAACTTTCGGACTAATGGGCCTTAGGATAAGTGGGCCTTCGGACTAAAGGGCCTTCGGACTAGTGGACCTTCGGACTTCTAGTTAACCTTCGGACTAATGGGTCTTCGGACTAGTGAACATTCGGACTATTAATGGTTCTTCGGACTAGTAAATTTTCGGACTAATGGGTCTTCGGACTAGTGAACCTCCGGATTGGTGGACCGTGATCGTAAAATCGATCAAAGCTGTGCTTCTGGTCCCTGTGATCCGCAACAGTAAAGGTCCTTATATTTTACTTCTTTGACAATATTTTTTTACCGTAATCATTTTTCTAATAGTCAACAATATTGTCTTATAGAGACATCAAAGACAAAAACTTTGTGTGTCCTTTACACATTTGAACAACTCATTCTGACATGTTTTTCTGCTTCCTCTAGCTTCTAAATCAGTAAAAGATACCAAATCTCAGATATAGCTACTTTTAGCATAGTATAATTTTTAAGGCAACTTGAAAAAAGACAAAATATACATTAATGATTTAAAGAGTTATTGCTTCTATCTTGCTTAGAAGCAGATTTGTTAAGAAAATTTCGATCGGTAGTCTGAAAATTTGGGGGGGGGGGGGGTTAAGAGGAATGAGTTGTTTTAACGTACGTTTACATATAGTTAAACAACTTAATAGGATACCAGGATGTAGTATCACACGAAATCAAATGAATAGTACACAACAAGTTAGGGCATAGACCTAAAACGAAGGGGTTTTAGGTCTATGGTTAGGGCAATCAAATTGAGGATTCAAATGTGATTCTTCCCTTTCCTGAATAAAATGATTACAGGTAAGCTCTAAGACAACTTAAATAAAAGACAGGAATATCATGGACAAAATAGGGCAAAAAGAGTGTTAAGGAACCAGTCATAATTATTTTAAACTAGTTAATAGGACGTGCGAGGTAAGAGTCACCTAATTTTGTTTTGATTGTAACAGTTATTTATATATAAATGCAAATGGACCGTCTTCTGGCACATATTATTGGGGAAGGGGGCAACCCCCCCCCTTTTTTCAGACTTACATGTAATTTTTTACTGTATAAAATGTTCAATGCAAGTCCGGTCGACCACCCAAATTTTTGTTGCAGCATTCAAAACACGGCAATGTAGAATCTTTTAGTAAAATAAATTGCTAATAAAAGTTTTATCTCCCCCCCCCCTCCCTCCCCGAAATAAGATATTGCGATTTTGTGCAACTTTCCTTTTGTTTTTATCAAGATAATTCCGATGAGTTTTTTGCCCCTCCCCCTAATCTTTAACGATGCTTAGTTTCTGAATGTGTTTATGAAGACTGCAAAGTGACATTCATGCTCAGTCATATGATTTTTTTCAGGTTTCAAATTGTTATGCTTCCTTTATATGCCTTCATTATAAGCTAGATTTCTGACATGCTGGGTAGGACATAAGATTGATGTTATCTTCCCATATTCCTATATCTGTATATAATTTATTCATGATATCCTGACAGAGCTTTACACCTAAATGGCTACACAAGAACTGGAATATATATGAATTCATCAAAACTTTATTATAGTGCCAGTCTACACCATGAGCTACTTCATCCTAGCCACAATGCAAACGTCCATATTCATAAATATTTATTTCAGCATGACTTTTAGAAAAATTAGAGGTATTCAAATTGATAGTTTGTCAACAAATAAATAATAGAAATTACTTCGCATCTGCCATCCATTTGGTGGCATATTTATTTTTGTAGTGCCATCTTTTTGTTGTATACCTACTGTTTTTATATTTTTTGCAAATATTTATCTCATAATTCTGTAAATTGAGGGGATCAGTATATTAATATGTATTTGTGCGATTACCTCTTGATCTGACCCCCTATCATGTGATGAATATATTTTTTTTTCTTATTTTGTCATTTCAATAAATGACATATTTCATCTCAACATAATTTTATTTGATTATATCTCAGCAAAAACAGAGCTGCGGTGAGATTGTGCAGCATGAGGAATCATAAGTAAACTCAGAGATTGAAAAAAGGCAGAATTGAAAAAAACAATTCAATGCCTTGAAATTAGAAAAATTATGCAAGACAAAATTTAATACAGTAAGCAAAACCTTTAGGATGAAACAGATGGAGATTGAACTTTAACAAAGATTGCAAACTAAATATTCGTGTTACTTGCTCAAGAACATCATAACTAATTTTATTTTAAACTAAACTCACAAAACTCGTGGTCTTGGTTGACTCAATCGAAGAATGTTGGGGAAATTTAGTTTCCTAAAAACAAAGTACATGTATCATTGTCTTTTTCTTGAAAATAC